CTATCTGCCCATAGCTTTCTAAGCATAACTGTGTAAAGGCATATGCTTCAGGTTTTGCAAGCATTGTATTATTCAATGTGCTTTGTATGTGCAGTAATGGATGCACTCCGAGAAAAATCAGATCACGGGCCTCATAAGAAGCACCCATCGGCACCAAGTTACTGGAGAAATTCCAAGCTTCATCAAATTTCTGATTTTATGTATTTCACCAGTGTGCTACCTGTTGGCACTGTGAGCTTTTAGTTTTTTGTTTTTCTATTTCTTTTTTGAATATAATTAATTGTTCGCATCAGCACAAAAAGTAGCAAATTGTATGTTTACGCGGATCAGCAAGGCTTCATAGATATTTGTAATAAAAGCGATTTCGCCATCCAGTCAAGCTATACAGCCGTAATTTAACGAGGATATCTTTTCTCCATGTGCAACCCAAATATTTCAATTTCAATTTTAAAGCACGCCTCGGTTTTGCATGCGTGCAGGCGGAGGAAACTGTTGATATTCAGTTAACTCAATGATTAGACTAAGCAGGGAGCTGTTTGTTGTTCACTGTGGACCAAAAAGCGTAAAATGAAATTCCGCTTAAGCGTATGCCCTGCGTACAGACGCATTAAAGGTTCAAGTGGCAACATTGCAGTCACATCTCTAGTACGGACGATCTGCCTAACGGAATCATTCGAAAACGGGTGATTGTGATGCGCGACGCTAGTGGTTTCTGAAGTATGACTTCAAAATTGAAATGAAACACGAAAAGTGAATTATTGTACTTGCAGGTGACATGCATACTTTTTTGGGGGCTTTATGTTGCAGAACCGACTCTCGTGATGCCAGAGTGGGCAGAAAAACTTATTCCGCCTTTCATGAATCATATCACTCATACAGCTCCAATTCCATTCATTTTGGTGGACACGCTACTGACCTGTCATCAAGCGCCTTCACGTAAACTCGGTTCAGTTGTTGTCGTCGCTGAAGTGGCATTCTATTTCACTGTGTTTGTTGCTTTTCCTTTTTTTTTTCCTCGAAGCCGTGCACTGTCTTGTCCACCAATCTAGCAACACTTTAAACGCGGTAAAATTTCGTAACATTGTTTTTCTATTCCTCTTGTACATAGATTCAA